AAGGCTTTAGGGTTTTAGGATTTTTGGGTTGAGGGTCTATAGGGTATCAGGGTGTTAGGGTGTTGGATCTTCAGGTGTAAGGATGCATACTAACATACCAGCATGTTTTCGGAATGCTGCACATACTCCGGCCGCAATGCTACCGTACTGCCGGAATCAGGGTGGTCTTGAAACCTTTATCCAAAGTCCACAACTTCCAGCCCAAAACCTGAACCAGCCACACCCAAACCTAAACGGCCATGTAGGCTGTGTAGGATTTGAAAACCCTAGCCCCAAACCCTACGACCCCAAACCCCGTGCCCTAAACTTTCCGCCAAGGGTTTGCGGTCGAGAGACTGCCTGCCTTCGCCTTGGAGAAGCCAACGGAGACGCCGTATTCACTTTCCAGCCACGCTGCTTTCCTGAACTCGTCTCAAGGACAGTTTTCAGCTACGGGGCTCTCCTGAATTCGTGTTACGGACGGTGACAGGGACTTTTGTGTTGCGCTACTAGAATAGTACGCAAAACGTATGATCCTATTCCCTTATTGTTGCGACTTACTGGTCTTCCAGAACAAGAGCTTTGAACCCTAAAAACCCCACTGCACAACCCCAAAGTGACATCGTAGAACAGAGCTCAAGGTTCTGAATAAGAACAACCTTCTGAAACCCTCACTAACACCCACCTACATAGCCTAGAAGTTCCTCAGCAAGAACCGAGTTGCTCTACCAAGAAGGTCTGCAAGGAAGTTGTGCCTGTCTTGTGTGGGCCCACGTGGATGATCAACCTGGCTCTTGCACAGAAGTCGTTTAAGGCGCAATGTTCAGGAACTAGGGTTGATGATATAAGTCCTAATATACCATAATTCCCCCATAGTTTAGGGTCCTTAACACTTATAAAGTAGTGCAGGATTTATATCATCAACCGGTTTTGTTTCAGGGTTCGGTCCAGCGTCCCCCATCTTATCATGCATCTTGGTTCCGGGCTTTTGTGTCATATCTAGTTTTTGTTCAGCAGTTTTTCCGGGATAACCGGGATAACACCCTTTCGCGTTTTTCCTGCCTGAAACTTACACAGCTCCTCCGGAGGGCTCGCCAGCATACGAGCGTAAATCTTACAACATCCGGTGCATATGGACTTCGGTTTATCGCTGTAATATGTGAGGAACACGTGTATGATTCGACGAACATGCCTTGACGAACAGCGAACGGAGAACTACATTCATTCCGTTACAACAACCCCCAACCGTGTCTTACTCAAGATAGGGGCCTCAGTGTATATATCTATAGTATATGTACAGAAGTCGAGGACCAAGTAGTCTTCAACACCTCAAAATAAAAAACCCTACCATATCCCCACAATTCCAGTGAAACCCTATAACAACCCAATGAAATAAAACGGTAAAACTCACCAGACATCTACAAAGCAGAACAAAACTTATGAAATTCCCTAAAGTTAATGCGTGAGCCCTAAACCCCAAACATCCTCAGATACAGGAAAACCAGTTGGTCAGGGCTTCGGGATGTTCGGGGTTTACGATCTCACGCTAGGACAAGCCAGACTAGGTCTCCGTAGGGTTGACCCTAAATCCTAAGCCCTCAACCCTAGACCCTAAACCATAAACCCTAGANNTAAACCCTAAACCCTAAACACCGGCTACTGCTCACAAACTTTGCGCCTTGGCCCACGACAAATCTCAGCCGCAAGTCTGCGCTGGTCACTGGCAGGCTGCACCACGGACTGCAAGAACACGTACCTTGAAGGTTTAGGGCTCAGGCCTTGGGGTTTGGCAGATTGGAAACTTCCCCGCACTACCCCAAGACCCTGATCCCATGACATAAAGCCTCTTAGCCCTGCGGATCACGTACTCAGGTTTGAAGCTCTGGTGCTTTTTGAGTGCTGGCGGCAAGTATCAGGAGTCTGGGCTGGTCGCAGGCCTTCGGACGGTTTGAGTAGGTAAGTTGGTCGAGAAGCAGTTGACGACGACCACTACTACCAGTACTTCACACAAAGAACGGACAACATTTCTACTGTTTACCGCTTCCAATGCTGCTCGCATGTTTTTTTTGTCGTGCTCTCTCGTGGCTTTTCCTTACCAGGTGTGACTGAGGTGCCGGCCAGCGCC